GCATAGCTCCTAGGATCATTGGGACACTCAAACCCCTCCACCACGATAAGGTAGCAGCCCAAGGAGAGGACATTAAATTCCAGTGAAATATATTTATGTTTGTGGTTGTAATGTGACAAAATATGGAAAAGTTCAAGGGGTATGAATACTTTTGCAAACCACTGTATCTACATGGAAAATTAAAAGTAAAAAGACGAACCAACTGGACTTCTGTTTTAGAGCTGTAAACACATGAATCTACAGATTTAAACAGCGAGACTTGAGGTTAGTGTCTTATCGATCCTTCAACCCCATCTTCCTGATGAAAAAGCCAGATGGAATGCGACATAAGCGTTCACACTGCAGTCACTTTGAAAACATCAGATATATATCTGATTTAAAACCACATACTGAAACGGCCTGGGTCGGATTTGAAAAAACTGGATTTGTCTCGTTCAGACAGTCATAAAAAAATTGGATATGAGTCAGATGGAGCAAAAAATCGGATTTGGGTCGCATTTGCCTGCAGTGTGAACGCAGCCATAGAGTTCGATGGGTAAATATCAATCCACATCTGGCATATGATGACAAAATGAACTGATGTTTTCCTTTTGCCTTGATGTAATTGAATCATGGATCGTTTAATTGATATACCAATGTGGATTGATGTATTGTTACACACCCCTAGTAAATAGAAGGAACAATTTTTAGTAAAGAAAGCGTAGCAACAAAATTGCCTTCACACTGAAGGTTTTTCCAGATTTATGCTAACAGGTTATGTAGGTCATGAAGATCAAAGCAGGGTCATCATCTAATGTCAAAGTGGGGCCTAGGATATTTCTACTTTAATCCCAAGAGTATGTACATAGTTAATATTTCCAATAATCTGAAGACTGTGAAAATCAGATGTGCTCATGTGGACATTGTGACCCACGTTTTCCTTTGTCTTTGTATATGTGTACCTATATGCGTGTCATTTACTCACCGAGTCTTTTTGCAGCTTTTAGGGCATCAGAAGCTGTATCAGCTACAAAGAAGCGCTGGACGGCCACTCCGCTGTCCTGCATCAGCTTCTTGCTCTGGTACTCTTGTAGATTCAGCCATCTCCTGGGGTTTGTCCAGGTGCACTGGAACAAGCAGCAGGGAAAAGGTTTAACTTGCAAGTGAAAGACAGTTAAAACTAAATGATGAAATATGTTTTATGAGAGCTTCCACGTCACTAATAACAGTTTTTCCCCCCTCTTTGGCTTAAATTCTCGCTGAGCCTGTCTGTTGACATATTTCACATTATACAACACCAATACATGTCTTGCACCTGCCTTAGAGCTGCATTACACCTAAAGAACTGTTTGCTCCATCAGCAGACACTGGGTCCTGTCAGCTCCAGCTGTTGTTGCTATTAAAAAGAAATTGGCTTTTTAATGGGAAGGAGAGACAAAGGCTGCAGTAGAGATAGAATCACTCTGCAACAGCACACAGTACAAAATACACAGGTGTGTGAGCACCAGCGAGCAAATAGCCATGTGTGCAAGCATGCAAATGTTGTAAAGGAATGAAGTCCAGGGAGCCATTAAGAAGAGAACAGCCACTAAATTAAAAAGAAAACAAGGATTTTGACGTAAATTAGTGTTTGACATGTAAATGATGTGGCAGTGTCARCATTTCTGACTCAGTAAAGAATTAGCTAAAACAAAAGTAGGATTACACCAACATTGCAGTCTAAAGGTTTGTTTATACTTCATGCAAGACATGCGGCTGCGACCCAGTGATGACGTAATTGCGTGTGTGTCACCGACAGCATTCAATGTTTATACTGGGAAAAGACGTGGGGGATACATTATAGTAGTCCCTCCCTCTGCCCTCCCACCGCAGACGTCACACGCTAGCTTAGCATGTAAATAACTGCTAGTTGCTAAAAAAATACTTGCTAGCTGCGAGTTTAGCTTGTGCGGGAGATGCAGGAGATGGATGACGAAAAACACTTCTCCTATTTTCAAATGTCCGCTGCTCGTTTCGAGGAACTTGCCCACCGGATCTTTTTTTTTCCCAYTGGATCTCCCCTCACCTTCAGCACGCAGCGACACAGTAGAGGAGTCACAGATGGTTGTACCTCCGGACCGCCTCGGGTGAGTTTCTCTTCAAAACTATCCATGTTTGGAAACAAAAACCGGCTTCTGGTAGCGAGTAGCGGGTAGCGGTGTCACACAACACAAAAACACCCACAAACTTTGAACCAATCACACACTCCGTGCCGCAATCTCCGCATCTCGGAGTGCTGACTGTGGGCAATGTATAGGACAGCTGTCACTGGGGGATGGCAGCGGGGGTGCAGACAGAAGTTACATAACTTTTTTTCACTCAGCGGGTGGTAAAAGACGTGCGACAAGAAGTATAAACCAGCCTTAACATGGTTTGCCAAGTCAAGATAAACAGATATGAGATTTATACTTTTACAGTTGTAGGGACTTCATAAAACTGTTTTTATTCAATGTGATCTGCATGAACATGGCAGCACATGTACACAATAAACTAACATACCTTAAAAATGAACAAGTTACTAAATACAATACTAGAACTCTTTTAGAAAGAAATTTAGCAGCCAAGAAACAACACTGGTCAAAGAGTGTGAAATTTACCATCTTAAATAGCACTGGATCTCACACCTTTAGAGCGATGTGTACTAGGACAGTTACGTACCAAGTGACCGACTCCTGACCCGACAGTTCTTCAACCAGAACAAACCCTGAAAAGTTGATGCATGATCAACAGAGAAGCCAAGAACTACTCACCCTACACCAATATGTTTCACCTAAAACGTGATATCTTTATGAAAGGGTATTTTTATTTGCTTTTTTTTCCCCTGCATTAACCTCATTTCAGCTGTAAGTTTATACCTGCATAGTTGCTAATTATTAAAAAAAATAATAATAAACACTCAGCTTGCCCTACTCTATTATTTGAGCAATTTCTCTTCACTTCAAGTTTGTGTTCTCAACCAGGGGTCTGGTTTATAGAGTATTATGTACAGTATCATAGCTGTAATTCACTCWTCTGGTCAGAGATCTTTGAGGTTGTTCCTGGGATTTGTTGGAACCACACTTCCAATTTGGAGGACACAGCACCAAGTGCTCTAAAGTGGAGGTTCTCAAACTGGGGTCCCAGGACCCCCAGGAGCCCACGAGAGGTATCTTGGGGGTCCTCAAAAAATTTCACTAAATTGTTAATTTGGTTTTATTGTTTTTAAATGCATTGAGAAGAATGAATTAATAAAACAAACATAATAAACTTAATAAGAATATATATTACCATGGCTTTTAGGGGTTGAAATTACAATGCATTATCTTTTAAAACAGCATGGGGTTTATGAGGGGGTCCCTGGAATTTTTCCGCCCTTGTAAGGGGTCCCCAGACCCAAATGGCTTGAGAACCTCACCACTTGCATCACTAAGGTCTTGATAATCCACAGCATCTGTTTCCTCTTTCACCCTGTGGCATTTTTCATGTTTCTCGTGATTCTTCTTCTTGATGTTATATTAAATTAAAATTAGGGCTGTACAGTATATGTGGTAGATAGAAATGGTATAAAGTTGGCCTACGGTAAAAATTTACCCTCTACCGTCCTATCGTCAGTTACGTCATCACACCTGTGTCAACAGGGCTGCGAGAGCAGAGACAACTGAGCAGGAGGAGTTTGAAATATAATGAAGAAATTCTAGCATTTTAAAACACGTATAGAGAGAATAAATCCTCAAAATTTCCCCCTCCCACGGTAGAAAAATTCTTATGTCGGGATCACCCCACACACCCACGCACTCTCCCGCCGCATGTCACGCAGAGCGAAGCTTTAACAACAGTTGTTTTTTTCACATTCAAGTTGTCAGAGAAAAAAAACTTGCTTTTATGTACTGTTACCCATAGAGATGATAAAAAGATGTGGACGTTCGTTCAGTCATAAATCCATCTTGCTAATGTAAAGTTGGCTTCTGATGAAGATGATGAAGATGAGAGCGCAGCAGAGCAGCAACCGATAAGTTCAGCAGGAGAAGCTCATTATATGGCATATATGGCAGGCAGATATTACATTTATTTGGCTTCCCTACACGTACATTCCAGTTATCTGACATTGTTTTATGACTAGGACTATGTGCACGCCGAAGGTCCTGTCACACTATAACATTTTAGGCAACATTGAATTTTTTTCTCTAAATGATTAATTTTACTTGAAGTACTGACTATAACATCCACTTTTTTACATTGTTGAGAATTTGAGAAATGGTTTTATTTGTTGTTGAAACCGTTTTGCAATATAACATTCTTTTGTACTTATATTCATTTGCACTACAGCTAAAATGCTGGGTTTGATTATGATTAGAGTTTTCTGCAAAAAAAGCTCTAAAATTTACATTATCTTTGCTTTTTATGATAATTTTCTACCACGATATATACCGTTATTGTGAAGGGATTAAATTTATACMGTGATATGAATTYGAGGTCATACCACCCAGCCCTAATTGAAATTGCTACATCTATCACCACTGCCTTCTTATCTTGCTTGTCGATTACCACATCTGGTTGGTTAGCTAACCTGTCTGTCAGTCTTGATCTGGAAATCTCACAATATCTTGACTCTCAACCTGCATTTTGGGTCCTTGTCCTTTATCAGTGTCTGTGCTGTCCTTCAATCCAGTCTCCTCACAGCCACAGGAAGGTTTTGTTGATWTCTGTTTGTTGATTTCCTCAATTTGCTGGTGGTACAAGCCGTGCAAGTTAAGCTGAGTTAAAGACAGCCTTGACCTGAATGCCTTGTGAATGTCATCCTGGTTRCCAAAAATTGCAGCACTGTCGCTGTCAAATACTACACTTCAAGATGACACACTGTTTTGCAAGCAGTTTAAATGTTCATTTTCTGTATCTACAATATGGCTTGATAATAAACATGAAAACACAGTACACAGCATTTATTTTATTACTGTGTGAGGACCAACAAGCAGTATGTCTTCTTATTTTTTAAACAAAAGCAGCTTTTCCAAGAAAACAAACCAAAGAACTGCTAAATAAATCGGGTAGATCGGTTTGCTAGCTGCAGGGTGACAACAGATATCAAAAAGGCTTCAAGTCAGAGCAGCTTGCTAAAAAGTAAAAAAGAAGTATATTTTCATATCTTCTAGGTTTCCTATTATAAAAAAAATGTCCACATTTTTGGTCTAAAAATGAAAAATGTTATTTTGTGTAGTGTTTTTTGTTTCCATTTGGTTTAAAATTAAACTTTACCCAGYTATCCACCGATGACAGCTTTACTGCTAATTTATCATAGTAGCTATATTAAATCATCTCAGTGGACAAATAACCAAGTTGGATTAGGCGCTTATCTCTGTATCATCATATCTGAATGTTTTCCCCATACAACCAAAAACTAGCAATACACAATTTATGAATAAAACCACTCTGCAGTATCACACTATATTAGCATGCTTTCTCCATTTCAACACTCACGAGAGCCTGTCTGGAGACTTCATTAAAGCCACAATGGGTTGTTCTCTAGAAGAACAGAGCCCAGTGATATATACCGTCCTTGTCTTTTGCATAACTGAATACATGAGGGGAATCTGCAGGTCAGCCCTGAAGTCTTGGCTGTGATAATATACTATTTATATGTTTCAATTAAAACTGGTATCACTATATATCTATGTGAACTTTTGCTTTTTTAAATCCCCCAATGAACCCATGCGAATATTGATGACATGGCTCTTCTGCTGTAGTGAGGCGAGTTTCAAAGACAGAGCAGAAACTGAATTGAAGAACTTCGTAAAAACAAGAAATACACACACAGACCACAAACTAAAAAGTAAATGTTGACACGAAACAAACCAAAAAAAAAAAAAAATTTTGGGAAAATGTGTCTGCCTGTATGAGTCATCAAACCAAAACAAATGCTGGTATATATAACTTATAGTCATGCTTTTCCTGTCACTTCTTCTTACACGTCCACTTGAGCGGAATATATTCACACAACCTTAACAAGCCTAGTAGCAAAACAGGTTGTTCCAGTGTTGAAGACTCACTGGACTGCAGTCAGGTACCTACAGGGCCCTCTCTCTCTTGCAACATTTACTTTCAGTTTCAAAAT